TCCCATGATGAGTAAGCATTAAAAAGGTTAATGTCACCTGGAAAGAGAACGGAACCGCACACGTCCTGTGATGACGTAAGTAGCTAACTGCTTAGATGCTGTCTTTGAGCACAGCTGTGTGCACCTATGTGCTAAATAAGCTCTCTTTTTCTAAGAAAACTCTCATTGCCACCAAGTTGGAATCAATGCATAGCTTACCCTGAAGCGGATTTTGACACGGGGGGATGATGCCTTTCTGCCTTGGATAGTGGACTCAAACTGCCTATCTTTGGGTTGGTAGGCCAACTCTTTATCCCCTAGGCCACCAGAGCCCCCCTTTCTAATATAAGCCCAATTTGTCCTTCTAAAAGTGCTCTTTAGTAATATTCAAGCATGAACTCTTTCCCATACACTTAACCTTCTCTTACTGAGGAAAACCTTGGCTAGCCCATCCCCTCACCTCCTAGAAATCAGTATAAATTAAATCCTCTGCTTTCTGGTTCAAAATCATCTCCAAGGTTGGTTTTTGCAGCAGCTGACTGCAGACCATGGCTTTTCCAGTGACACTCTTCCAGTCATTCGGCCAGCTAGCTGGCAGCTTTGCTGGCACAGAGTAAGCATTCCCAGTGTTGAACATGTTTGCTGGAACATCATATGGTGTTTTGTCAATTATCTGAGTGATGTCCCTTTAGTTCCCCCAAAAGCCTTCAGTGGACTAGATACAATATCATTATCACTTAAATAACTGTCTTTTTCAAGTAAGATTTTAATCTACTGCCACTGAGTTTTGACTCATAGTGACTAAGACTCATGTTTCTCTTAAAAGATTTACAGCTTTGGAAACTACAGACAAATATCCATTCAAGAGGGCCTGCTGTAGTTAAGGAATAATAACCCACAAGCTGTTCTGCTCATGAGTAGAGACAGTCTGTTTCTGTAAAGATTTATAGCCTCGGAAATCCTATGGGGTATTTCTGCTCTGAGCTATAGAATCACTATGAAATCGAATTGACTTGACGCTAGTATATGAGTAGAGGGCCCTGAAGGCTGCACTTCACACGGCTTGGATGGCACCTCTGAGGCAGACAAGGCTGAACTCTTGGATCTCTAGAAAGTACTTTGAGGGGCTCCCACCTAAGTTTTCATTATCCCAAGTCAATGTGTCTAATATTCCAGCTTAGAGTCCTTTCTTTTCCCTCCAATGTGCTTTTGGTCTTAACCTTAAGTGGTGGCCACCAGCCTCAGAAGTCACTGTATCCATCCCAGGGACAAAGGCTTTGCTGTCACTGCTACTCATAAGCACCATTCTCTCTCTCTCTCTCACACACACACACATCCTAGTGCTCGCCTGTGGGTGGAGGTAAAGGAAGACAGAGCATGACTTCATATGCATGTGCCAGGGGTCTTCACAGCGGTGCCCTAATTCAAAGTCCTCATTTACACTACGGATGTCAGGATGAGACAAAGCAATTTATTCAACCATCTCCATGATTTCAGAATCTTTGCAACCCAAGGCATTTAAAGCATGGGGCTGAAGTGACATCAAGTGTTATGTGCTTCTTTCTCTCTCAGAATCTGTATTTTACTGATCCAAATTATTCTTTAAGGACTACTTTTTAAGATGGGCTGTGTAACAGTGGTTATGAACACTAGCAACAATTGTCTCAATAGTATCTGAAATCCTAAATTTGTTGTGGAGGCTAAATGAGATCATTCAAGGTTAAATACTTAGCATACTATCTAGCAAACAGGTGGTAAATACTTCTGCCATTATTACTGACCTGATTTATCAGAATTCAGGACTAGAAGGGACATGGGAATTGTATACTAATGAAGGAATTTTTCCTTTTTTTTTTTTCTCTCTTCAGAGGTGGAAGCGAACTGGTGGGGAGGGGTGGGAAGGGAGAAAATTGCAGCAATGAATGAATGGAAATCCAAAACCTCTGTAAAAAAAATAAATAAATAAAATTAAAAAAAAAAGAAACAATGATAAATTGCTATTTCATCAATTCGGCTGCATGGTGATACCGCCATAGGCAATAAGAGTATAACTGCGGTCCTTCGAATTTTTCCACAGCTGATAGTTCAGAAGGAGATTCCCAGGAAGGCTCTACCTGGAAAAGGCAACTCTGCACAGACTTGACATTGTAACTTTTCAGGAAGTAAATGACCTTGTTAACCATTCTTACCGCCCAACACAGACTCCCCCAACTAGAAAATGAGCTTAAAATTTTGCTTAGGGCTGATGCAAATTTCATCATTTTCTACCTCTCCATGAGTTTCTCGGCATACTCAGTTAATGGGAAAAAGAAGATACTTCCAAAAGGTGCTTTGACTTTATAAAAGCAGTTAATAGGGAATAAACAGTCTGAGTCATAAGAAACAGTGCACTGTTGCCAGGAGAAAAGGCCAGCCTACAAGTAGAATCCAGATATAGAAATTAATAACTCAGTAAAAGGATTTTATGAGCATTAACAATCTTCTTGAACATTAAGGGCAACACAGCATGAATGTCGAGGAACTGTACTTAAGATAACCTTTATAGAAAAAAATATATTAAGCCTTGTTTTTTTCTAATATTTTGGTCCAATGTATGACCTCAGTTTTCAAAGTACTAATGTACAATGGAAAAACTCAACATGCAGTTGAGTTGGAACACATTCAGAGCTGACCCTCCAATGGGTTGTCAGAGACTAGCAATGTCATGGGAGGAGAACGCCCGTCATTTTCCTGCAGAGAAGCTGCTGCATTCAAACCACTTACTTTTGGGTAAGCAGTGCAATTCTTTATCCACTAGGTCATTAGAACTCACTAGACAATGGTAAGGAGCTTTGGGGTCCTGGTAAGGAGTTGTGCTGCCAACCCAAAGACAGGTAGTTCAAATCTGCCAGCTGCTCCATGGGAGAGCTTGGCAATTCCTCCCAGGTGATTCACAACCTCCAAAAGCCCACTGGGACAGTCAACTATGTCAGTTCCAACTCAAAGTCAATGAGGTTTCTTTTACTAGTTTTATGAACAATCAACAGTTTCAGTGCTTTCAAGATGGATTTTCAACTTTGAATATTTAATTAAAGCCATGTGCCTTATATTTTTAGAAAAACAAATTATTGAGGTAATACGGATTTTGACACACATCCCGAGGGGTCTCTAAGTGCTGGGGTGGGTGGGATGAGGCCCATTTATTCTGATTTAAACAATTATTTAGGCTTCTACGAGGTGGAAACACACATTAAATGCATGATGGATGATTTCCACTAAACTTGAGGCAGGAGATGTAGGTGGGCACTGTAGTGTGGCTAAGTCTAGAGATGTTTAACCCATTTTGCTGTTAAAATATAGAAATGCTTTATGGTGCCACTGTTGTAGAATGAGGCTGACACTGGGGTGGGGGTAAGACTGAGAAAAACTGGATGAAATATGTTTACGGCATTGAAGTCTATGGGAGAGAGAATAGTTTAAAAGTATTATATTTCAGGGAATTATGTTTATCATAAGAGTACGGAATGAGGGTTGCAGACTGGATTATATTTGGGGTTGGGGGTGTGGTTGGGGGATGTGCGGAGGGGGGATTGTGTATCAATGAGGGAGTTTTTCTTTTGCTTTTCAAGGAGAGGAGCAAATGGGGGGAGGAGGGGGAAGGGCGGGGAGAAGGGTGCAACAATGAATGAATGGAGTTCCCAAATCTCTGTAGATGTTCATTGAAATGAAAAATAAATTAAAAAAATATAGAAATGGCCATGTCCTGACAGTTTTTCACCTCAAAGCCCATTAATTATGGTAAAAGAAAGACACTGGCAATATACATGCTGTTACTTCAGTGGAGGCAAGATTACTGAAGCTATGTTGTTGTTATTGTGCCATCGAGTCGTGACTCAGCGACCCTATGTACAACAGCCCTAAAACCTGCTCTATCCTGTGCCAATCTCATTGCCTCTGACACACCCATCCCGATTACCCCAGTCACTGAGTCAATCCTTCTCCTAGAGGGCCTTCCCCTCCTGCACTGTCCCTCCACCCTCCCAAGCATGATGTCCCTCTCCAAGGACCTGTCTGTCCTTACATGTCCAAAGTATGTCAGACAAAGCCCCAGAATCCTTGACTCCAAGGAGTAGCCTGGTTTAACCCTCTCCAGGATGAATATGTTTGTTTTCT